CACTTCTATAATATAGAATTGTATTAGGTTATGCATCGCGACCCTCACTCCCAACAGGATAGTAATATTTTGCATGTGTTACATAATCCCGCAAGCGATATGATGGGCCGAAACACGGGTCGAGTCGCGATAATGAGTTAATATATCTACGCGAACAATACATATTTAAAGGTAGCCTTGGCTAAGCTATGACTTTGAGACGTCGAACACCTCAGTTCCCCCCCCCCCCCCTATCATAGGTGTAGTAAAGTGCTCGAAACGTCGGGAATATAAAACAAACTTTATTTAAACGAGTCGCGATGTTATTCTTCACCAAATACGCGAAAAGAATGCTACGTGTTTGCAACTCCCTCACCATTTCTGTATGATCCGCCTCTTAGATACATAGAAGAGGCTCGACCTCGCCTTTCAATATGATATATGGACGATAACAAAAATTTTGTTTCGTGTTCCTTATAGAAAAAGATACATATTCAGGTAGAATTATGTACTAGACCTACTGCGATTTACTAATGACGTAAATAGAAAGTAGATACCTAAAATGCCTACAATTTGTATATTGAGACAAAAAAAACTGTACTAATCAGATAAAAAAGCATTAATTAGTGGTTTAGGATTCCGTAACCAAAGTGTAACTTTAGTGATTTGTTACTAAGCCTCCGCTGTGCGGTCCGTCCGTTCGTCTGTCTGTCAGCGGGCTGTATCTCATGATCCATAATAGGTAGAGAATATGTATTTTTGTTGTCGCTATAATAACAAATAATAAAAATAAATTAAAGGGGGCTCCCCGACTAGAAACGTGTTTTAGAATGGTACGGAACCCTTCATGCGCGAGTCTGACTCGCACTTGGCCGGATTTTATATTTAATATGCAAGTTCGTTCAGAAAAACGACATAAAATGAAAAACATCTACACTATTAACAGTGTTACAAAAAGTATTTCATTTAACCTTTGTGACGACGATTCATTTAGTTCGACCTTAAGCTCAAAAATTTACGCATATGTACGTCAGCTCTTATGAATTAAATATTAATATAGAAAATGTATTTTCTTTAAAAAATTTCACATTTACATAATATAAGAAGACAATATTAATATGCGCGTTTTAATATGCAGTGAATCAGTGTCAAGATGTTTTAAATACCCTTGTGAATAATATGATATGTCATTATGTAGGTAACCTAGCATGAACTATTTATAATCATGGTTTTATATTATATTTTATATCTTATATTTCATATAGCTATCCTCGTTTAGGAAACAAAATGCGGATGCGTGGTCACCCCAGAGGACTAAGATGGAATGCCTATTTACCAGTAAAAAGGTCAGTTTGAAGTACGTGAACTCAGTGTTAAAGGTTACTCTGCGTTTTTCATTTTAATAAATTTTGTAAGAACAACGATTGCTCCAGACACAAATCATTTCATACAAAATCGTCATTTCAGCGTATTCCAATGAATAAAGAAGTTACAAGAAATATAAAAAAAATGTAAAATATAAAAGAAATAGGTCCGTTAAATTATTTTCTAAAGTAACTGGGATCTTGAAGATTATTGATAAACAATGTGATATTATAAAGAACCACACCACAAGTAATCAAATCAAACCTAAGCACAAATAGTTTAGAAAACCCAAAAGTGCACGTGCCTCATGAGCGTTGAATTTATTTTGATGAAAAAAAATAAAAATAGTGACGATAATTTTTACAAGAAAAAAAAACAGAATCCTGATCGACTTCCATTAATAACTTTTAAACGGTGTTCAATGACAAAAATCAATAGGGATCCTCCTTAGAATATATGAAGGTACGACTTTCCATTGACGTCAGTCGAGTTTGGTTTTTATACATATTTTTCCAGAAAGATTACATTTTTATAAGCACACACACAAAGTTTCAATATACGGAAACACGTACTTATTGAGAAAAAAATATTGTAAATCAAATAATTTTGCAATATTTAGTCAATTCCTACCGTGAAACTGACGCCATTTTTATTATTATTGTCAGTAAGGATGTCGATTCTTTCCGAAAAAGATCGATTTTTTAAATAGATTCGAATCGTAAGCTGATGTATCGATTCCCAAAAAATCGATTTCTAAAATATCGATATTTTTTTCATGTTTGCATTTATAATGTAAATATAAATCCATTTTATGAGAAAAAAATCCCCTTCATCATAAAAAAATAAGGGGACTGATTCATAAGGATTTCTGTATCTATTTTGAGACTGCTACGTCTTCGGCGCTGCGGGAAGAGCAACCTCTACGCCTTGGCATAACAAATCGCAGGCATCCCTCCTCGCCGGCGGAGGCTGCTCCCCCTACGCGCCTCCGGCTCTATAAAACCACTCTAGGGGTAGGGCAGACTCGTACCAGGTGGAGTCGGGGTCAATCAATTCGGTTCTTTGACATAAGTTGAACCTAACCTATTTTATTTGTTATCATCTGCCCTAATAGGTACTGTTAAATAAAACAAATTTCAATAAGAGATCATTTATCATGGTATCTTTCTTGTTTTTCATAAAATGGGTTTATATTTACATTATAAATAGAAACATTAAAAAAATATAGATATTTTATAAATCGATTTTTTGTGAACCGATACATCAGCTTACGATTTGAATCGATTTAAAAATCGACCTTTTTCGGAAAGAATCGACATCCCTATTGACGTCGACAATGACATTACAAAATGGCGCCAGTTTACTAGCAGATTAGACATAAACCTTCTCTTGTCACTCCCGTGACTGACTTGACATTGGCAGAATTCTAAAAAGAGGGGCCATAAAACTAAGAAAGAAGAAGAAGAAGACATAAACCAAAGATGTTTTATAGGTCAAAACATCTTTGACATAAACATTGCAAGAATAATTGATTTTCAATTATTCTTTTCTCAAAAATTACGCGTTTCCGTATATTGAGACTTTGTGTGTGTGCTTATAATAGTGTAATCTTTCTGTAAAAATACGTATCAACACCAAACTCCACTGAGTCAATGGAAAGCTAAGCCTATATGAAATCTTATTTAGTACTATAACATATATATATATATATATATATACATATATATATATATATATATATATATATATATATATATATATATATATATATATTATATAGGGCATGATATTGTATGGCTATTTCCAGAAAACCTCATTCAAAGAGATTATATGAACTTAGAGGGTTGTATTGGTAATTTTAATGATAATAATTCTGTAAACCCACACTTACGGCTGTGAATCATATTTTGTTAAACATACAACCTGACCCTGACCTTCAAATTCCAAAAAAAACTTACGAAAATGTGAATTTCGCGGGCCACCCTCGCGCTTTCACCTTTTAAGCGAGAAGACTCACCAACGCACAGACCAGCGGACGGCAGTCCATGTATTTTTTCAATTACATGTTTTGTTATGTAATCTAAAGTGAATCAATTAGAAAATAAACTAATCTTATAATTCAATGTCTGTAGTTATTGTAACGTTAATAATAATATGAATTTAATGTCTAGCTAAAAGTATAAGAACGATTTTATGTACCGAAATTGAGGTATGGCCACATATCGAGAGTAGAGCACTCCCTCCCTTCCTATGGGAATCATTATTCCATTGAATAAAACTATTTTTACGGATTTTATCGCGTAATAATAATTCTAAAAATAGTTTTATTCAATGTGTAGTGTTCGCGTAAATATAAGAAATCATCATTATTCCAATAAAAGGATTCGTGATTTTAATATGCTTTTTACTTTGAGGTCGACAAACAAGATTTTGTAACAAATTAAGAGTTTATAAACAATTTTTAAGTTTACTTTAGACATTAATAACATTGAGATTTGATTAACTATTATACAAAAGACGAATACAAGAATTTCTTGCAAGTGACAATGCGAGGTAATTTCATTGTTGCAATACAAGGAGTAAAAAGTTACTACACACAAGATGAAGAATATATAATCAGAAATATATAATCAGAGCTGACTTTGAAACTTTTTAAAAACTGTTAAAAATGTAGTGAGCAATATATACCAAACTATTTCATACAGGCTTCAATATTTGAGACCAATTTCGCTGGAAACGAGGCATTCCATCTTAGACGTCACGGGTGACAACGCATCTGCATTTTGATTCGTATTCGTAATCCAGGATGGATGTAGATGTTTATGGGCCGCAGCAACCACTTACCATCAGGTGCACTGTGTGCTCGTTTGTCACCCTAATCTTATTAAAAAAAAAATCCAGTTTGTGAACAACAAAAAATGATGTAACTAACAAAAAAGTATAAATATATTTAAGCATCTCTGTATTTTACCCAATTAGTTAATCCCATTTTTGGGTTTAAAAATATATATAATTTGATTGTTCGATAGATTTAGTTTTAATTTCTTTTACTACCTACTAATATTAAAACCGACAGTAACGTATCAAAACCAATTTTATTAAATTTTTCGTAGGCATTATAGTGGTGGCGTAATTTCACAATAAGTACGCGAGCAACCCGGGTTCGATCCCCGCCGGCACCAATGAAATTATTAATTGCAATTTTAAGTGCTGAATTACCACGTGCTCGGCGGTGAAGGAAAACATCGTGAGGAAACCTGCATGTTTGAGAAATAAGAAAAAAAATTCGAAGACATGTGAAGTTCGCCAACACGCATTGGGGCAGCGCGGCGGACATTTCCTTACCCTAAAACCCTCTCAGAAATAAGAGGAGGCCTGTGCCCAGCAGTGGGTCTATAAAGTTACAACCTATAAATAGGCTGTAACTTTTAAAGTGGTAACTCTAAATGATCCTAGAAAAATAATTAATGTAAAATCAAAAATAATAAGCAATATTGACACAAAATTGTCAAAACAAAAAGACGATTAATGTAGTTTTATATTGCTAAATTTATTTCTTCCTAAAAATGTATCATAGATGTAAATTTTTAAAACTATATCTCGAAAACGTTTTTTTGAGTTAACATAATTTATTAAATAAATAAATAATATAGTACCTCCTCCGTTATTGTAGCAGAGATAAGGGAACCTCCATACGTTGCCCAAGCCCACACTGTAGCCCAACAAAGATAAAAGAAAGTCGAATCGGCCAGTCCAGTTCCCGCGCTCTGGCTCCGTTTCTTCTGCGGTGTGCTCTTTTGGTGTATTTTCCTTGCATTGCTAAAACAAATGTTTATTATTTATGTTTGCACATAAAATTTTGTTTTCGTAGACCTAAATTAATATCACATTCAAATGTACTTTTCTAATGAATGTAAACAAAAAGAATTTTAAACCATTTTTGAAACGAAGTTCCTTATCGGACGGTACGGGTTTGGCGGATGGGAGCTAGGCGACAAAAAGTGTAAGATTTTTTCGTCACTACCCCTTGTGTCATAGTGTATTCTATTTTAAATGACGCTTCATTTTAATAGACGCTAGTAATGCATTTATTTGTATTTGTTAATCAATAATATAATACGTTTATGAATAATAAGGAACTTCGCTCCAACCGAGTGTTCCACAAAACTCACGCATGTTTTTTTTTTAAAATAATTAATGGAATCACGCGTTACTTTTTGAAAATCCATTATATTAAAATTGGAAAAATTTCCTTTACCCATATCCGCTCCATAAAATAAAATGATGTCTTACCTAGGAAAGATACACCACTGACGACAATACGACACGTGTATCGCCTCTACACGAGGCATCCTCAGGCTGACCGCTAAGATCTTAGCGGTCAGCCACCTATGTCTTTCCTAGTGTAGTGGTGCTGAGATTAGTGGTGACGGGGATAGTGCACGCTATTGAGAAATGGCGGGAGGTGCTCTACAAACTAGGTAAGACTCATCATTATATTTTATTGAGCGGATATGAGCAAAGTAAATTTTTCCAACAATTTTTTTTAAATACCACATTTTTTTACATAATATTCTTATAGTACTTAAGTTTTTAGTTAATCGGAAAGTTAGTTTAAAATCAATTAATAAATTCTACCCGGAACGACGAACAAACAGACAAACAAACAAGAAAGTGACTTAAAAAAAACGTGGTAAATAAAAAGTAATAGCTGCCACGCTTGCTAAACTGGAGTATTGCAATAGGTAATGTATAATAGCCGTCAATCTCGCCCAAATTTAAACCATATGTCGTCACTAACATAAAGCACTTAACGTATTCTTATGTTTAACTGGACATTTATTAATTAAAATTTTATGTCTTATAAGCTTATCACACATTTTAATACACATAAGTATTAACCTTACATTTCATAATCTATACAAATAAATAAAATTGAAGTGTCTGTATGTAATGTCAAAATTACAGTTTTTTTTACTAAATGCATATGAAAATAAATACGGTACTTATAACTAAAATAGAATGTTTAAAATTGTTGTCTGTCTGTCTGTTTGTTCCGGCTACTCCGAAACGGCTGGACCGATTTTGACGGGATTGTCACTGGCAGATAGCTGATTTCATAAGGAGTAACTTAAGCTACTTTTATTTTAGAAAAAGAATTAGGGTTCCGCGCAAAAACATAAAAACCCTAACACGCGGGCGAAGTCGCGGGGAACAGCTAGTTGCAAATAATAATAGCAGGAAATAGCTTAATATCAATTTAAATAATTCATCCCGCTTATTATACTCACATCTGTATATTCGAGATCCAATGCAGGAATGTCTTTGGCGACCGCTGGTATATGAGTTTTGACCGATTTCTCCATTTTGTATAGATTTTAAAGCTATAGGAAAAGAATGTGCAGTCGGGACATTTTTAAAAAAAACACTAGAGCGCCGGACGCACTTAAACCACTGAGCACTGTTATGCACATCTCACTCCACGTTACTCGGTCGGTACGGTACCGCCTTTAATGCACAAATTTAATGCTCTTTCATTTTTGGAAATAAACAAATAATGAGACGATCAGGTTAAATATACATGAGATCGAAAAACGGCGAACGCAACACCGCGCAGATGTTGAGTTTCGCATCGACCGAACTCTGAATGAACATCTAGGTCAATATCAAGCCTCCGCCTCCAGTGCGCCTGTCGCTCCCACACGACATCTCCCCGGCGAAAATCGCATGGAAATGTCCTGATCGAGCCTCGCTACAGATCAACTATACTTCAACAGTAGATAGATATACTTCAAGAGATAGCGATGTCGCGTACATAAACGTGCAATTATATTAATATAATGTGTTCCGTAATGTACTGGATTAATATTTCCTAGGCTCAAAAACCTGACTGATAGCATTTGCGGATCATTGGAGTCAATTAACTCACCGTTACTGTTTCAGCCTATTAAGTCCACTGCTGTACATAGGCCACCTCCATAGAATGCCTCATAGGGGGGATATTTGCCATAGGTTGCCACGTTTGAAAAGCGGGTTGGCAACCGCAGTTTTTTATTTTTAGTCTGCTGCTGCTGCTGCCCATCTCCTGAATTGATTTGTTTCCCTCTATCGCCTCTTACGACACCCACAGGATGATATGGGGTAGTGGATATCCTTACACCGCCACTACACGGTAATTAATTCACATCTATACAAATAAATAAAACTGAAGTGTCTGTTTGTAATGTTAAAATAACAGCTTTTTTATTGAATGCATATGAATGTGTATATGGTACTTATAACAAAAACACAATATTTGAAATTTTTGTCTGTCTGTCGGTCTGTTTGTTCCTGCTAATCTCCGCAACGGCTGGACCGATTTCGACGAGACTTTCACTGGCATATAGCTGATGTTCTAAGAAGTAACGTAAGTAAGTTTTAGGCTACTTATATTTTTGAAAAAGAATTAGGGTTCTGAGCAATATAATTAAAACCCTAAATTACACGCGGGCGAAGTCGCTGAGAACAGCTAGTTATATTATAATTCTTTAGTATTGATTTTCCTTTTGTAGATAACACCCTTAGAGAAGACGTGTCTTTCATTATGTAAGGGACATACCCTAATCTACATAATAGTTTTACCATTATTATTTATTCATCAAAAATGCTTTCGATATGTAAAAAAAAAATATTTTCGTACACTGTAATCTATTACTTTTTATTGCAAAATTAATCTGAAAGGACTACCCTATACTCTTTGGTGCGCGCCGAAACATCTTCGGGTTAGACGTGCGTTGTTTCATCAAACATTCTTCTCGCTTTAGTGTTTATTCGCCTGACAATTAATTGCAGGGAGTGAAGTACTAACATCCTTTGTAAGAAATGCTTATGTCGGCAAAATTAACATCAGAACGGATATTAGAGCGCAGGCAGAAAGCGGGCAATCGCTAAGAGGCGGAAGGTCGCTGAAAGTGGAACAACGTATTGATTACTGAGCCTTGCGCGGGTTGCGTTATTCATGATTCAGAATAAGTTTAAAATATTACCTTTAAAACATTTCACAAGTCTATGCTTAATTTAAATCTGTTTTTAATAAATCTTTACTATTCCTATATTATCAGAATCTACTATTGGAGATACACTACCCAAATAGAAAGAACAATCGACAAATTTGAATAGATAATTAAAGGTCGCAGTAAAAGAACTCTCGCGCCATTAAAGCTTTTTTATTTTAAATTTGGCAAGCACAAGATCCATCCATTCATTCATCGGTGACCACAATATATTCATGGCATTTCCCTTAGTACCTTGTCTCTTTGATTCCCATAGAAAGAAAGTGGTGGATAACAGGATCCACACGGCATACGGTTAAGTATGGTATCCGATTAAAACCCTAGGTGATCACTAAAAATAGGCTATGTAATAGTCTATTAGCAATTATTTGAGCGCTAGATGGCATCCCCTACGCGATGTATGATAGTGAACTTTAAGTCACAGATAAAAAAAAATCTGTTTTCAATCAAATGTCCAAAACTTATGTATTAAACATTTGATGATTGATCCGAAAACATCTTTAATGAAATTAAAAAAAGGTAAACCGAGTTCGAGCTTTTAAAATTTCAATTTGGAGATATTTCCAAATCTGGAACACACAGGCACACTGAAATGCAAAATGATTTTAAATTAGTTGCGTCAACGACTAACCGTTGTAATAAATTATAAATATCAAAGTTGTCTGTTTGGATGTTTGTCGCTCAATTGCACATTTCTATGGTATGCAATAAACCATAAAATATTTTTTAGTCCCACGACTTGGCAGTCACAGACTAAAGATAGTTTTTCGTTTACTATTTAATATTCATAAATTTAAATAGAGCATAAAAATGAAAACCACAAATTTTATTTCAAATTCATTTTAATCGTTTTTAAATGCAATAAATTATAAAAATTCATGTAAAAATATATTAAGTATAGGAATGTATAAAAAGGAAGGCACCACAAAATTTGTATCATTGGAACAACACTTAGGTACACTATGCGTTCTACTCTTACATTATACATCTAAACATATATGATATTACAAAAATCCTGAAATAAAGAGCATAACTGTAGGTATAGGTATGTATATTACATACATAAACAACAGTAAGTGATGAAAAACAACAAAACATTAAAAAAACCACTTCCACCTGCATAAAATATTTTAAGCACCCCATAAAAGATTTTTTAATAGTATTCTCTACTTTTTGGCTAACAGCGACTTGATCAGGGACTCCAACTTTCTGGTGTCGGCAGCAAATTTCCGAATGCCTTCAGAGAGCTTGTCGTTAGCCATTTGATCTTCGTTCAAGTGCCAGCGGAACTGTGCTTCCGTCAAGGAAATTTTCTCAGTGTCGCTTTTAGCCGCGGACTCTGGATCCAGCGCCTGTAACTTATGTAATGTTAACCACCTATATTTTATCAACACAATCTTTATCAACATCATCATTTGACTATGATATCCGCCGGTTACAGCCACACACACACAGACAGGTTAAACACAGATCCTTATCAATTATGAAACTGGCGGGGTTAATTAATGACCACACTACCGCATCTTCACTCATCGCACTTTAGAGGCTGGGCTTGTCCCCGTCATCGATTTGGATATGGTATAGTTGCTCAATCTGTACAAGATTTTTTTCATATCATCATTTCATAAATATAGACAAGAGCAGGGTTGGGCGAGTCCTCACTAGATGGAATGACGACCTGATGAAACGCGCAGGTGGTCGATGGACACATACCTCACTTTGTGGCGCCTTACTTATGGGGGAGGCCTGCGTTCAGCAGTGGAATTGTGGTAGGTTGTAATGATGGTGATAAACCGCAGTTATCAGTTAACACAAGATTTTACCTGTCACAGTCCACTTTCACGTGACTTGCAGGCAAATTAGAATGATGTATAACCCCACTTAATTCTTATTAGCTATGCGAATTAAATTAGGTTGGTTCCCGGAAAACGGTGTAGTTACTCGTTGCAATAACACAGTAACTCATCGACACGCGCTGGGTGAAGAGAGGCAGCAGGAAGACGGAGACTTCACTTAACCTAGCTTGATACATCGTAGTACACCCTACCCCCACCACCACAACCACCATCACCACCACCACCATCGTCATTATCGAAAGGGTGAAATGCTGATACCGCGATACACCACACTTTATCCATCGAGACTACGCCGCCGATGCGATAGTGGTGGCGCCTCGGGGAGAGAAACTTTCATTAAGTTAAGCCGACACTAAAGGCAGTGCGATCATCACCGCTTACCCCACCAGGTGGAATTGTAGTCAAGCAAAGGATTATAATAAAGAAAGAAAAGCTAAGCTCCATTAGAATTTATCAAAAAATTCCGTTTGGACGAATTCTCCTTGTAGCTTAAGGTCAGCTTAAGCTAAAAATCAGAAATTATACGTGGTAGAGCCACGCTGCAGCTATATCAATAGTATAGTTGTAGCACGAATAGGTCGGCTCGAGCGGGGAAGGACCACGCTCTCACAGAATGTCAGCGCAAAACAGCAGCTCAATTGCTGCTGTGTTTCGTATGGTGATTGTAGTGAATCGGAGACCCCTTTTATTAGAAACGGCGCATTCTATATTAGTCTTCACAGGTGCTCACATTTTGACTCGTAGTTGAGGATGGATGTATATGTCTATAGGCCACAGCAACCACTTACTATCAGGTGGACTGCGTGCTTGTTTGTCACCCTTATCCTAAAAAAGAAAAAAAAGAAAGACAGACTTAACAAGAACATACCCTTTTCATAGGTTCCTCACTGCTAGATAGCTCCTGAAGCAGTTTCGGGCTAATAGTGAGCAGGTCGCATCCGGCCAACTCTATTATCTCGCCGGTATTTCGGAACGATGCGCCCATCACCTGAGTGTTGTACCCGAATTTCTTGTAATAGTTATACACGCGAGTCACCGACAACACGCCCGGGTCGTCCTTAGCTTCGAACGTTTTCTTGGTATGCTCTACGTGCCTGATAGGATCATTCAAAAAATTTAGTTCAAATTACAATTTAATAAAAAAAGTTTTTACAAATAGTGGAAGAAAATGTCAAGAGAATACTTGTGAAAACCTGGATTACTGAGAAAAAATATTGTGTTATACCTATATGTCTGAGAGAAAAAAATATTAGGTATAACCAATGATGTGTGACATGTTCATATCTAGGTGAGGTAAGAAAACCTGAATATTTGAGAAATAGAAATCGTTCTGAGGACATGATGTGATATCTGCCAATCAGCATTATCTGCACACATTGTATTTCATCTTCATAACTATACCTAGATTTTTTCTATTGTAGTCCTTAGGATTAATGTAAAATAAAAATAATGTAAACTTGTGCAAGTTGGTATTTCTGTCTAGGCACCTGGGTTGGCACCACTGTTTTACTTCTTTTAAGGGTAGTTGGTTTCATGTTTACTTTTAATGTTTCCTGTGAAATGTGTTCATGAAGTTTGAGATTGTAGATGTTCAAAGGGGGTTTATTAAATATGCAATATTGCAAGTAAGTAGGTCTAATAGGTTTTGGGTTGCAAAGTAGTCGAAAGTAGCTCGAAGTGGTTCATGTAAATATTACACACTGTCGATACACTGCCGTGTGTCTAGATCTTATTCTCAATACTATTAAGCTTTGACTTACTTGAAGTTTTTTTAATACTTAGAAAAAGAGCGCGGCGCGATAAAAACTTCAAGTGAAATGTAATCTTATTGTTAACACTTTTAGGCTTCATTAAAGTAAGTTATTTGGAGTTTTCATAAAGCTGTAATAACTTTACCTGCGAAAAAAATATAATAATTGTCGCCGCAGCTGTGTTACTGTTAAGCGCAGGAAGAGAGTGCCGGATATCCGTATCCGTATCCGTTTCTCAAGTATTACAATGGTATACTACTAACAACTTATTTTTGAATGCCAATGAAACGAAATGCATTAAATTTTCTTTTCGCTTAGGCGGGCTTAGTACTCATATTAAGTTGAACGATAAAATACTTGAGTTGGTAGATTCCGCAGTGTTTTTGGTATTACAATCGACTCTCGCCTACAATGGGGAATCGCATATAAGAGGCCTTGTCAAAAAGATATAGTTCTGCTGTATAAACAGTAAAAAAGAGAGAGATATTAACAAATATGAATACACCAAGATTGGTTTATTACACATTCTACAGTTTTGTCCTATAGATTTTGGGGCAACAGATGTTGAAAATATATTTATACTACAGAAAAGAGATGTACGTACTATTAACAATATTAAACCAAGGGCGTCACTTGGAGACCTTTTTAAAAATAAATTCCAATAACGCGTTACGTAACGTTTTTTTTTATTTCAATAAAAACTAGGAAATTAAAATCTCCCAAGTTGGCAACCCCTTTCGTTTACGTTTTACGGGGAATCCCTCGATTGTATGGTACGTCATTTTTATTCTGTCCTCCCAAGTTGGCAACCTTTTTTGTCTATGTTTTACGGGGAATCCCTCGACTGTATTGCGACTGACCGACTGTGTTCTCTTTTAATGCACCTGGAATACAAAGTACTTTTACCAGTGGCGGATTTACCAGCAGGCTGAGTAGGCTGGAGCCTAGGGCGGCAGATTTTAAGGGTAGCTAATTTGGGGCTAAAACTTTTTCATTTTTCACTTGGTCGATAAATTTTCCTACAATTTGCATTTGGTTGTGAAGCGGAAACGAGTGACATAACCGTTCGCTAAGTGTGTTTGATCGAAATGCCTGCCCTATGTAGTACATATATAATATCTATGGAAGTAGTAGTATATATAATATCTATGGAAATGCTGATGAATTGACTGAACGAGCGAGGCGCGGCCGCCGCGGGAGCCGCAGCACGATCATACTGTTGAAGGCGTACGCTGCGTGTTGGCATTGAGTTCGAAACACATAGATGTATTTACTTCAAAATCAAAAGAAAAGCTGCCTCGGTTGAATCCTGGTGCGATTTCTAATACGTACTAATATTTTTCTGGCACAATTTTTTGGAAAATTACCTATTGGAAAAACGGTCTGAAGAGGGTTCTTGCCGTAGTATGATAATGCCGCAACATGTCTGGTGTGTGTACAATGGCTAAAATTCAAAGCCAAGCACCTTTTGCTTTTTTCGTTCCTTGCTCTGTCCTCTCTTAAAATTTAGTGGCAATTTCACGAACACACATCGCGGCAGAACTTCCGATATCACCCACACCATTTGGGTAATTGGCGGTCCACCACTGTGCGATTTAGAAGATGTTTTCTTCCTCGCACAACTTCCTTGTGGAATCGATTACCATCAGCGATTTTTCCAGACCGATACGAATTAGTGACCTTCAAGAAAAGAGTCTACTCCTTTTTAAAAGGCCTGCAACTGCTATTCCCCTGGTTCCCCAGGTGTTGCAGTTGTTCATGGGCGGTGGTAGTTACTTACCATCAGGTGAGCCACATGTTCGTTTGCCCCCTCAACTATAAAAAAATGCGACTGCTGAACACAGATTTTTTTTAGATTTGCACAGAAGCTTGTCGCTTCGTCAGTTCTTTGAGGTGAAGTTTAGAGCGACCCCTCACTAGATGGAGTGACGACCTGGTAGGATATGCAGGTAGTCGATGGATGCAGGTGGCTCGGGATCGTGTTTTGTGGCATTCCTTGGGGGAGGCCTATGTTGGAAAAATTCAATTTTCAGCACGCTGGAGACACACTTGCTAAGATCTGGAGGGAAAAGAAAATTGACAGCTATGATGTTTCGGCGGAATATTGAAAGCCGGAAGATAGCTTGCAGAATCCAGCAGAACCTAATCTGGCATGGTATACAGCCACAGCGACTGCTGCCAGAAGGGCAAATGAGCTTCTCTGCATTGTGCGATGCTGTGAAACATCGTCTGAGTATGCCGATTGGCTTGACGAAGACGAAGTTGATGCAAGTGGTTTAACAATTCCGGAATCCGCTCCGTCTGCTCTCCGGATGCCAGTAATGAAAGAGTCTGAGCGGCTGGCAAACCCGTGGACTGAGGAATAGTAACTATGTTATTTTATTTTAATAGTTTATTAGTAAAAAAAAAAAGCTAAAACAGGAGAATGCATGAGAAGACCTTGGTGGATTAAGCCAAAAATGTATGTGAGGAAAGGGCCAAGTCAGAAAAACGGCGTAATTAAATGTCAAGTTAGCAGTAAAAGTTTATTAGGACGAATTTTAGCCCATTTTAACATATTTAAAACTTAAGCAAATGTTTATTACATTATGTGTGATTATTTATTAAATAACAATATGAATAAATAAAATAAACAATATACGCTTCTATTACGATTTTTAAGAGATTTCTTATCTCTTGTTTTATTTATTATTACCGCAAACACGATTAAAACAATAACAATGTTATTTTAGCGGTTTCCGGTCCTTTGCAAAACACAATTGTGACTTTTAGTTAAAAATGGTCACTTGGGTGTTACGTAACGTTTAGGGAGGAGGAGGGGGGGTCCAGATAAACGTTACGGCGCGTTACATAGGGGGGCGGAAGGGTCAAAAATCTTCAAAAATTGCGTTACGTAATACTTGAACGCCCCCTAATCGAGAGGGGAAAGAACTATATTCATGTTCATACTTTTTGCAGCTCTTAAATGTAAAAGACGATAAAATGTTTTTATACTTATCCCTACCTTTCGCATGTGCATAATATGTGTGTGTGTGTGTGTGTGTGTGTGTGTGTGTGTGGTCTGTGTGCGTGCGTGGGTCTGTGTGTGCGTGCGAGGGTCTGTGTGTGCGTGCGTGGGTCTGTGTGTGCGTGCGTGGGTCTGTGTGTGCGTGCGTGGGTCTGTGTGTGCGTGCGTGGGTCTGTGAGTGCGTGCGTGGGTCTGTGAGTGCGTGCGTGGGTCTGTGTGAGCGTTCGTGCGCGCATGTGTGTGCGTGCGTGCGTGTGTGTGTATGTGTGTGTGTGTGTGTGTGTGTGTGTGTGTATAGTGATCTTGAACGGATCTTTTACATTAATTTCAAGTTGATTTTTCAATCATCAAATAAATGTAATTTCAGAACTGTCAATGTTAAAATATTCGTTTTATTTAAGAATATTCTGCTGCCCCTCTCCCGCTATGAATCGGCATTTTAATTGATGACAGAAAACAAAGTAGTTCACTATCGAGTTACTTAATGCAAAAATAATCAAATCGAGCGAAAATGTCGTGATGTATATCTTGTGGTGTAACAGTGACAAATATATAACTTCAGGACGTTATAATTATATTAAAAAAGCTATAATTTCCATGTCTATCCCCACCTTTACATTGCACAAGGAATAATAATCAAATGTACTCACCAGTCTAAAATACGCCCAACGAAGGGTGATATCAAAGTAACGTTTGCTTCGGCACATGCAATGGCTTGGTACAGTGAGAAAAGAAGGGTCAGGTTACAGTGAATGCCATGTTTCTTCTCTAGTTCCCTGCAATAAATATTATAATGTAAAATCAACTCTTAAATTTTTCCCCGTTGTTTACTTTTCTTTTACGTTTCTCATTGATAGCCTTGACAATGACACAGCAAAAAAGTCAAATCGCGTAAATGTCGCTTCCAAATTCAATTCTACTATCCACGCCTCAACTTTGTTGCGCGATTCTTTATTCTACAATGGAGGGAATCTATTGATCCACTTGTAACCCTGCGGCCCTACTTATTATAAGGAGTTAGTGACAATTTCACATTTAGTATATACAATAATCTTCCATGTCGATCCATTCATATAAGCAATGGGAAGATATGGTATTCCCGAACATTATATAATCGAAAACTAGGCTGCGTGCACTAGGAACAAAAACTAACCTATACCGAATAAGAAACCAGAAATAAAACATACACACTGACCTCAACCCCACAATAGTGCGTCAGTTACACGTAGATTTCGTGGTCCATTTTTGTGCTAGTAGTAGATAGGGTTATCTACCATTTTTTTGCTCTCATCAATGTGTTTATGATCTCGCGATGCTGACGCGATGCAGTGAACACTATATGTTGTAGGGTCATTCTCATATTATATGAGAAAGACCCCACAAACTGCAATAAAAGTAGTCGCACACACAACAATGTCGAGACGCAAGGAAGTTACATGTGACAAAAGATTGCGACACGACAGTTGTCAGAATATAAACATTAAATATTAATAAATTTGCGATTTTGTCAAAAAGTTTGCGGAATGGAGGGGTGACACCGTGACACTACTTGGTGACTCGTAGTTTTACTTAGCCGCGGCACTTTCATGACAAAGTCGCTGTCATATTGTCGAGAGTATGCATTTGTAATTTATTACTATCAATGATGACTAAACAAAAACAAAGTAGTGGCGGTGTAAGAATATCTACTATCCCATATCATCCCGTGCGCATTGTAAGAGGCGACTGAGGGAAACTAAAACAGGAGATTGGCAACAGCGTCTTCCTAATAACGCCTAAAAATAAAAACTGCGGTTGCCAACTCGCTTGTCAAGCGTGGCAACTATAGCAAATATCTCCCCTACGAGGCAATCTATGGGGGGAGGCCTATGTTCATTAGTGAACTTTAATAGGCTGTGGCGGTAACGGTAAACAAAACCGATTTAGTAAATTTACAGATTATATACGTTCCACTGCTAGTCACAAGCCTTCTCTCGTTTCTGAGCGGCAAAGAAATGTCCACCACGCTGCTCCAATGCGTATTGACAGGCTTCACATCACATGTCTTCGAATTTTTTTTTATTTCTAAGACATGCAGGTTTTCTGACGATGTTTCTTTCAACACTGAACACGTTTCAACACATAAAATTGCGTATCACAAATTCATAAGTGCCGGCGGCGATCGAACGCGGGTTGCGCGTACTGCGATATTTATGGAGAGCGTTAAGCTCTTGAACACACTGATCAAAAATTGATTTATTTATATTTTTATAATATTACATTATTATCTTTTTTTTTCAATATCTTTCCTTTTCTAAGTATGTTATCTTTAAGCATTTTAGTTTCAGTAACAATTAAGAATAATATGATAAAAATGTTTTAAGTAAGTAAGTACATACAATATCAGATAACAAATCAATTGCCTTAAAAAATACATAGAAAGATATATCATACTTGGCAGCTTGAATGCCTTCCCACGTGGAAGCTAATTTGATTAAAATCCTTTCTTTCTTAATTCCTTGTTCAGCAAACATACTTATTAATTTAATTGCTTTGGCCATACTTGCTTCCTTATCAAACGATAACCTGAAATATAAATACTTATGTTAAATGAAATTGATTACTGTTTTTTTTTTATTATAGTTATCTTCTGCATTAATCATACCTCATTTAATTTTTGTACACCATACATTTTGTAGTGATTTTTAAGCTACGCTGATTTAGCATCAAGTTTATTTACCAAAAGGCAAAATCAATAAACATTTTATATATACACTAGCTGCTTCCCGCGACTTCGCTCTCGTGTAATTTAAGCTTTTAATTATATTGCTCGGAACCCTATTTCTTTTTATCAATATAAGTAGCCTAAGTTACTCCTTAGAACATTAGCTATCTGCCAGTTAAAGTCCCGTATAAATCAGTACAGCCGTTTCGGAGATTATCCGGAACAAACAGACAGACAAACAAAAATTTTAAAAATTGTGTTTTTGTTATAAGTACCGTATATACATTCATATGCATTTAGTAAAAAGCTGTTATTTTAACATTACAAACAGACACTTCAATTTTATTTATTTGTATAGATATATATGTTGTGTATAGATCTGAATGGTATATTTAGCATCTTTTAAACTACAAAATCACGGAATGTTTTGAGTATAGTAAAATAAAAGTTGAAAATACTTATAAGTACTTTAATCTAAAAAATAGTTTGCAGCCCTAGCTTCGCCACTGTGATGATCTTAGTGAGGGATCCGGGGATGACGCCGTGACTGGTACGCCAGACCCGGACCTCGATGACACTGAGGTCATCAGTATGAAAGAGATTGAACATGCGATTCGAAGTTTGAAATGTGGTAAGGCTGCGGGACTAGACAGAGTTACTGCTGAAATGGTCAAGTATGGTGGGCCTCGCGTCTGGGACAGCTTCCATCTGCTGTGCAATTTGTGCTGGCGGACGAGGGATGTCCCGGATGATTGGCGATCCGCAGTCATTGTGCCTTTATATAAAGGTAAAGGTTCACATTTTGACTGCGGGTGCTATCGGGCGATCAGCTTAACCAGTTTAGCAAATAAAGTTTACTCGAAGGTTTTGACACGTAGGATGCAAGAGAAATCGGAAAGATTTCTATGGGAGGCACAATGCGGATTTAGACCTGGAAGAGGATGCACGGATCAAATGTTTTCTCTCCGCATGATCACGGAAAAGCTTCTGGCTGCTAACCAGAAGATTTTCTGTGCTTTTGTGGATCTTGAGAAAGCATTTGATAAGGTTGTAAGAAAGAAAATGTGGGAACTGTTGCCGGGGTATGGTGTGGATGGTCGATTGCTAAGGGCTGTGCAGTCTCTTTACTGTGACTATAAAGTCTGTGTGCGGGTAGGGCATGACCTGTCACCCATGTTTAACGTCCAAACAGGCGTAAAGCAGGGTTGTGTCATGTCTTCCTGGCTGTTCATACTGTATCTCGACAGCTGTTTACAGAAGCTGAAAGATAGCTGTTTGGGTGTGTAATTGGGTGACATAAAAGTAATTTGTCTGCTGTATGCTGATGATGCAGTGCTTATTGCACCATCAGAGGCAGAACTGCAGGCATTAGTCACGTGTATGAAAGAGGAATGTGAAATTAAAGATCTCCGTTTGAATGCTAATAAAACTAAGGTTCTGGTATTTGAAAGGGACGAAGAGAGAACGAAGTGTGAAATATGGGTAAATCAGGAATGTCTAGAACAGGTAAATGAAATTGTATACTTGGGGAGTGCTTTTAGCCGGGATGGAAGATGTGATTTAGATGTGGACAGGCGTGTCGCTGCCGGGAATAAAGTCAATGGTGCCCTGACTGCGTTAGTCAAAAGGCAAGGCGTAGCGAAGAGTGCATGCCTTGCAATACATAACGCAGTGTTGGTACCGACTTTGTTATATGGCAGCGAAGCCTGGGTATGCCAGAAGAAGCATAAAAGTAAGTTGAATGCAGTGGAGATGCGATCTCTTCGTAAAATGTGCGGCGTTACTATGGCCGACCGAAAGCGAAACGAAGAGATTCGCAATATGGCAGGTTTGAAAGATGACCTTATCACAAAAATTGATAAGGGCGTGCTCCGGTGGTTTGGGCACGTTGAGCGAATGAGTGAAGACCGAATGGTGAAGAAAATATATAGCGCGAATGTTAATATTAAAAGGTGTCGAGGTAGACCGAGACTAACTTTCGAAGACCATGTGACAAATTGCTCGAAGAGGGTAAGGTCAAGAGTACTCGGATACCTAGACGTGCACGCATGAAGAAGATAATGAATCTGAAAGAAGCGAAAGAGGTTTGTAAGGATCGTGACACTTGGCGATCTGTTCTCTCTGGCTACCCCGCCAGGGATTGTGCGTGAAGATAAGTAAGTAAGTAGTACTTTAACCAACAATATACAACTACACGGTAGCGAAGCCTCCATAGAAGCCGAGAAGCCGGGCTTGCCCTATCAAACTGCTCAAATCAATAATGTCAACTAATAAAATAACTCTTAAACTGTTTTAAACTATTTCAAATTTCCCGCGCGCTCCTCTGTTCTACACAGGTTATGACCTCGTAGCCTTATTATGTAACGTCAAGACTTGGCAGATTGCTTTACAACTAAATATCTTTTTCTTTCGCTAAAGCAAACCCAAACGGCTTTTTTCAAACCACCGAAGCTATGTAATTGTTGATATGTCACACAATCTATCTAGCAGTAGTATGCCTTCTGTGTGCTTTGTTAAACACGTCCTCGACAGCACTGAATATGAAACTGAAGAGTGGAGACAGATCAAGATTGGTGTATTTTTATAAAACTACTAAAAACAACAAAACCATATCTTGGGCTTGCCCTAGTTTGCAGCCCTAGCTTCGCCACTGCAACTACACACAGGTCACATACAAAATCACCGCTAAAAATGACATATTATTATATTACTCTACGTGGTAGAGCCATGCTGCAGCTATATAAGTAGTATAGTTGTAGCACGAATGGATCGGCTCGACCGGGGAAGGACTTGCTCTTCTTGCGGCTTGAGTGTGGGTTGAATAGAAAGTCGTTCTAGGCCGCATGGCTGTTGTTCCATACGCGTGCATATATCGCAGAGCTTAGTCAAGTAGTTTTTGATATATTCGATCCCTTGCCAATATCAGGCCCCTGTCACTCTTGCTAGCTGCGTGGCGTAAATACCTACCTACAATCGCGCGAAACCTCAGGTTTCATATGCAGTCACGGCTAGCGCGTTTTAGGCGAGCAATGTACTAGTACATTTTAGTTTTTTCGCGCGCAGCGATTATTTAGCTTGTGTGTGTGATTTATATAATTAATAACACTGATCAACAAAAAAAAAAAACATTTTTTGCGTGTAATAAGAAAAATTTTAACTGATTATGTTAGGAACAAGGTCAAAAAGTTTTAACTGATTATGTTAGGAACAAGGTCAAAAAGTTTTAACTGATTATGTTAGGAACAAGGTCAAAAAGTGTATAATTAGTGGTCAAAGATTTTAGATAAGAATAGTTTTCTTGTAATATGTTGTTTTATTTTTTATTTACGGTATGCATCGATATATATGTACTACGTACTAGATTGCGCATTCCGAACATACACTATATTCAACTGAACTGTACTGCAATCCGTATAGTGCAGTTTCGTACATTTAGTGTGGTTTCAATCTACTAGTTAGTCTGTGGTTTCAATATACATGCAGTGTGGAGCGGCGCTAATAATACAAGATTTCAAATTAAAGTTTAAACCTGGACGTAAATAACAATTCAGTAGTCAAGTAAGTAAAATTATTTGTTGTTCACGTGAATAAATAGGTAATTATATCGTAATATTACAAAAGAAAAATTCATGAAAGAAATATATTTTCTTATATAAACTGACCGCGCAAGCGCAACGCGCTTAAATCAACTGCGCATATGCGACTTTACTAACTCCCGCGCATGCGCGAAGACATAGAATAGTGCATATTTTTGTTTAGAAAGGCTTCTCTAGTACATAGTATATATAACTCAATGACGGTATGTAAAACAACATTAAAGCTCTCAAATTACTAAAAATAGGCAGAGAAGAACCAAAAAGGCAAAAATCTCACGCTCGAAGCACCAAAAAGAATGTACAGACCACAGTTTGCGACTCGTACATATTCTTTTATAGTTAAGTTAGTTATGTATTTATGTATATATTTATATATACCTATGTAGTTTTAAATAATAGTTTGAGACGATAGTACGTAAGTATGAGTGGCATATAAAGTAAGCACACGTGTTATTACTTTTACAGTTTACTGCAAACAATGAGTTTAATTAGAAAATAGATACAAAATAATTCGCCACTATACCATATAACTTGAAAGATTCGCCTTTACTCATTACGCTTAAAAAGGCAGGTTAAGTGCAGATATACTCACCCTCGCCCTAGTAGTTAATAATGCTGATACCCACCACAAATTTGGAAAATTGGGCTTCAGAGTGTTTATATACTATTACTAATAAACTAGTTTATATATAATGAGTTTAATTTTACCTAGCGTCGACTTCTACTGAAACTCGGCCTGGAATAATTTTAAGAATTTCACATCCAAACAATACACTCAGCATATCTAAAATTTCTGTTATCTGCTCCTCAATGGTTCTGTAACAATTTTATAAAACATATATTTTAAATTATTTCTGAAATATTTAAACCATTATTTCTAGTAACAAGGTATTCCATCTTAGTCCGCATGGATGTCAATACACATGCATTTGGATTAATGTGTAATAAATGTGAATGCTGCGACCCATAGACACCTGTCTAGGGATCGCAGCAATCAGTCGCCACTAGGTCGATTTTCCCTTGTTTGTCAAACCTTGTTTGAAAAAAAAAACAGTTTATCAATAAAACTGTTTTTTCTTTACTTCCATAGACTATTTATTATACGTGGTAGAGCCATGCTGCAGCTATTATAGTAGTAAAGTTGTAGCACAAATGGGTCGGCTCGACCGTGGAAAGACCACGCTCTCATAGAATACCAGCATAAAATAGCAGCTAAACACTGCTGTGTTTCGTATGGTGAGTGTAGGGAACCAGAGACCCTTTTTTACTGGAAAAGAGGCATTCTATTTTAGTCCTCACAGGTGACAACGCATCTGCATTTTGATTCTTTATTGATGATAGATGTAGGTGTTTAAGGGCCACAGCAGTCACTTACAATCAGGTGGACTGTGTGCTTGTATGTCACCCTATCCTATAAAAAAGACTATACAGCATTGTATTATGTGTTACTGTTCCTTAACATTATTAAAGTCACATACAATAATCGGAACTAATCACTAAATCATATTAAGATATAAGTATATGATAAAAAAAGATTTTAAACCATACAAACAAAATACGTAAATAAATAAAATCCAATGAGATGAAAATGCATTGCAAAGAATTCCAATTAGCTGTGGGTATATGGAGAAAGGGAAAGTATAATGTGAGTGGTGTGGTATTGATATATTATCTATTTACAGGTATGTTTAAATATTTCAAAGCACAATACTTTTTTTAGCACAATTACTTCTACAAATATACCAATATTTGACAAAATTATGGAACTAAGTACCTCACAAATTGAAGCAAAATTGTGAGGCAATTTATGGAGGGCCTATGTTCAACACGGGTATTTATAGGCTGTAAATAATGAAATGAATGGAAAAATGAAAACATAAAATATTTTAAAGTTAAAATCAATCATAAATTTAGTAATGTCAAGAAATGCATTTATTCTTATAAACATCACTTTAACTGCCCATCGGATGGTGGATTAATTTTTAATTGCCTTTGATAATTTCCTTTATAACTGCTATGTGCAAACTTTGTCACACTTAACTTCAGTGACAATAATTATGAGTGTTGTGAGCTGGCTCTCTGAAATACACCACCACCAATTTGGAATTTGTGGAAATTAAAGTTGAAAGTTAAGTTACAGCCTATATGTATAGGTCCCTATGTATGTTTTAGAGCAAGGAACAGCCGCCGTGCTGCTCTAATGCGTATTGAAGAACTTCACATGTCTTCGAAACATTTTTTCTTATTTCTCAAACATGCAGATTTCCTCACAATGTTTCCTTCACCGCCGAGCAAATGGTAAATCAGTGGAAGTGAGCAATAAAGCTTAAATAATATAATTATTATGTTTATTTATAAATTCACTAAGAAAGATATTTAAATATAAAAATCTTTATCTTGTAATTTCCTGCTCAATAGTAATTTGACAATTATATTTTGTGTAATCCAAACACAAAATATAATTGTAAATATTTTCATCTGTTAACAAGTTCATTTTAGTAAAATTGAAGTTGGTAAAAAATTACTTCGCGTACATCTCCAACTTTAATATAAGGGACTTCAGCAAAGTAACGCCTGAGTCTATTAATTAGTTAAATTACCAGAATCACATTAAATAGGCAAACAGATAATATGCATTATGTACTGTGCACAAAAGCTTAACACATAGAACTAAACAGTTCTCTGCATTAAAAACAAATTATAAATGGAAATTAATTTTTAGTTCGTTGTACAACAAAACATGCACAGAGATTTGGCAACACTTACCCTCCACAGTCTCTTCCATGTTTAATGGCTTTATCTAGCAAATGCTGATACTGCTCCATCCCAGCAGCCGATAGGATTAAACTTGGGTTTGTAGTGGCATCAGTTGGCTTGTAAGCTTTCATTGCTGTATATAAAATAGAAATTGATTTAAAATTTGCATCATAAACACCTAAGTTGCCCTTAGCTTGTACCAACTGCATTACCCATTCTGTTGTTAGGGTTGTTATTTAATATTTTACATGATATATTATTTTTATATATCTTAATTTAAATACTTTTTCTGTCCATGTGCATGTGACTTAACTCCTCCTAAACAGCTGGACTGATTTTGATGAAATTTTGTATGTATGATTAAGTTGATTTGAGAATGGTTTAGATTCATAATCGGACTGGTAGGTGATGCTGTTGTGGAGATCCAGAAATCACCCGTACGTAGCAGGGGTAGATCACTAGTATAAATTAAAATACAAACTTAAAGAGAAAGAATGAAAACATTCATTGAAATCTTTCAACAGCTTATGAAATAAGATGCCCTACTAAACCCTGCATGAAACAAAAACTATCATAAATATTTATTTTTTGATATTTTTATTACAACCACCCTATGATAGGTAAACTATTACAGGCTTGAGGTGCTTGTGTGTTTGTGAGCACTGTTGGCTTCCAACTTGGCCTTGACTATGTTGCGTATTGTGCTTGTTTTCATTTCGCATTTCATTTAAATGTCATGTAAAATATAAAAGGTGTAAATATGGTTTACAGTACTGTGTGTATGAACAATAATAGAATGGTTATCTTTATATTTTATATATTCTTCTGTCTGTATGTATGTGACTGAACTGCTGCCTCCTCTAGCAAGGGCATCACCAAACTGTCAGTTAAATTATAACAGAATAAATAATATGAAAATAATATGTATCACAAGACTAAAAAATTTTTTAATAGGACACGATTGATTACACTAACCTTCAAAATCACCGGTATCGGCCACGACCGTGGAAAATTGCTTCAGCTGCTCAAGAGCATTCATTTTAGTACGTTTAGCTACTGGTTCACCACTCATACTGACTGTAGAATTAATATTTAAATAATAGAAATAAGTAGGGCGTGATAATTACAACACAAGTGAGAGTTGGTCGAGGTCCAGGAGTAGAGGAACGGAGACTATCTAACTAGAGTATAACTTAACCACTACTGGTACTGTTGTATATGCTTATTGCTTAAGCTTAAGTGGCTTCAAGTTAAACGCTTGAAGGTGACCCCAGCCGAATATATTAAATCACTACTCAGTATTCACTATTACTATCAATTTAATATAGTGTTGTACTTAAATACTCTTTGATAACAATGACACATAATAATTAAATAATTATTTAATCTGTGCCAATACCCAATACGCGTGTTTTTTCGGAGTTTTGGCGGCAACTTGACCGGCGGCGGTTTGCTGCTCCTGTTTTATTGTTTAAATAATGGTTTGAAGTGGACTTTGATATGTAAAAGTGGTACGATTTTGTGTATTAAGTGTCTGCGCATGTGAACTATTAGTGGAAACTGTGAAACAAGTGCTCTGATAGTGATGTGATTCTCAAAATAAGGTGCCTGTCTGCTTAGGCGCCTTGAGATACCATCGCCAACCGTCAGCTGTCTGCTGGCTCAAGTTACTGTCAAAATCTCCCTAGGGCTGCACAGTGTGACGCATCAACATATTGTGAAGCAGTATACTATGAAGAATAAATATTATAATATAATATTGTTACTTCAGGCTTAGAAGGGCTAGATCCCAGAGCCGTAAAGCCAGTTATTAAGAAGCGTGTTTTTTCTATACAGTGTGTGGCTGTGTCTGTGGTGCCCATCTGGTGCAATGACAGTGACATGACACTTAGAGAAAGGGTTTGCCGGGAACTTGACCGACGGCGAATTGCTGCTTCTGTATTATTGTTTAAATGCTTCGAAGTGGATTTTGATATGTAAAAGTGATGCGATTTTTTGTATTAAATGTCTGCGCATATGAACTATTAGTAAAAATGTTGAAACAAGTGCTCCGATGGTGATGTGAATATCAAGATAAGGTGTCTGTCTGCTATAATAACTACGCAATGTGACGCATCAACATATTGTAGACCAGTATACTAAAAAGGTTATTATCACTTGGTACTGAAAATCTGTGAAAACGAAGATTGTTGGTGGAAAGAAGACATGGCTCAAAATACAAGTATCCAAACCAAAAATCTTAATAAAAAAATTACACCTTAGAGCATAGATTTTTTTTATTAGTTTTTTTAAAAAAACGTCACCCCCACACTAGGATTTTCTCCTGTTTCGTGGAGGCAGTTTACAAACATAAATTGTACAAGGACAAACATCCAGACCCGGAACAATTATTTGTAGGCCATACAAATACTTGTTCCGTGCGGGATTCGAACCCGCGGCCCCCAGCTCAACAACTGATTGCTAAGCCACTGCGCCACGGAGCTGACAATGATTACAATAACTATATAAAATACTATCACATGCTTCTTCTTCTTCTAAATAACTGGCTTTACGGCTCTGGGATATAGCCCTTCTGAGCCTGAAGTACAATATATTACGAGTATAATAATAATTATCCTTCATTCTATACTGCTTCACAATATGTTGATGCGTCACATTGTGCAGTCCTTGGGAGATTTTGACGGCAACTTGAGCCAGGAGATAGCTGACGGTTGGCGATGGTATCTCAAGGCGCCTAAGCAGACAGACAGAATATTTTGAAAATCACATCACCATCAGAGCACTTGTTTCACAGTTTCCATTAATAGTTCACATGCGCACATAATCCACGAAATCGCAGCAAACCGCCGGTCAAGTTCCATACTATCACATGCGTAAGTATCATATCCATAGAATACTTTTACTCCTATCGGAGAATTTATACAAAGGTACTCTGTGCGGAGAATCATATCAGTCTGTGACTATGGAGGTAACCTCCATAGTCTGTGACATAGAGATATATACCTATGGAGAGGGCATATTCCACTATAGAAATAATAGTTATACAAATATCTATAATATCGACACACACTTGTCAAAAACAGTTTTGTCTCTTTTTAACAAAGCTGCAATAGAAAAGAGAGACATCTACAGTTTGTAAAGTGCTTATTTTGGTAATACTTTCGTGTGACGTCATTAGCACATCCTTGCGTGACTGCGCCGCCATGTTAAGCGCCAAGTTTTGAGGTAGATCTGCTGTCAAACTGTCAAAAAAGCAGTGAAATAGTGTCGTACACTCTTATCCATGGTGTCGATAGAAATTATTTTAATAAATTAATTTTGTTCAGAAATGAATATTATATAATAATAATTATAGTTTATAAATCCTGGATATCATATTTCATCTACCGTTTCATGAACATGCCAGATTTATGAATTTTAAATGAACAAAATTAATGTACCTGCGAAAATAATAATATTTTTCATTTATGTTCATGTTATGAGATGTTCCAGAAATGTATGGAGCCTGGGCCAGTACTATGTACACTATATGTAAATATCGCTATTTAATATAGTAACCGTTTTTTATTGTTATTTTTCTTTAATTTCACTTCGTTTCAATGTACATTCAAATTAACTTGGTCTAGGAGAGCAACACAACATTAAATTAAACATGGTGGATCACAGAGAAAACACGAAAAATGTAATTTTGACATTGACATTTGATTGACGTGTATCTTAATATCTGCATGCAATAAAAAAAACAACACGAATTTCGAAAATCTTGGGATTCGATAATACTAGACTACAGGATATTCTACTCGATTGCGGCAGCACATCTTATATCACCTATTAGAGTAATTAGAGATTGGTTATATCGAAACGAAACGAAGGCTTGAAAGTTATTTTGTTTATTAACACTGCTGCTTCATTCTTTAGCGCCTATCTATATATTCTGGACTTCGATAATTCAAAGGTGAGCAGTGAGATGTACAATATCTGACAACTGCAAGTTATTGTTAATGTAGTTAACTATTCTTATTACACAGTAACAACTGGGAAGATACCGACTATTTTAGTTCAATTAGGCAGCAGCAGCATAATCAGCCTATAATGTTCCCACTGCTGGGACATATACCTTCTTTCTGTGAGGGAGTGGACTATTATCCACCATGCCGGCCCAGTGCCCAACTAAATACTATCAATTTTTCAAACAAGTTCAATGTTATATAATTCCTAGTATTAGCGGCATCAAAAAGAAGAGAAATCAGTCATGAGAGGTATATAAATAAAACAACTTGTTGGGACTTATGATTATTCGTTTTCCACATCATCCCTTTTTAATATTCCATCCAGGAATGACATCGGTGCTTCTATGCTCTCTTGGTACTGAGCCCAACCCAAATACCACACAATGGTCATGACATGAGCACAGCAACCCCTTGTCCGTTGTCTGAAGATACAATTACAATAATAGTAAATTATTTTATCATCCCCACTTGATCCTTCCCTTGCCAGTAATATGTAGGTATATGTTTGTCCTGAGCTATGTCGAGATTTTATACGGCCTCTTATTAAAAAGGATCAAGTTGGGATGGGGTTGCTTCTGCTACTACTTCCATTTGGTCCGATACTTGTACCTGAAATGATCCATGCTGCCTAATATGGTCCCTGAAATAGCTTCTAGCCTGTTTTATTTGATAGGTGCCTAGCCCAAAAAGTATGAAGTCAGTAAAGCGGTTGATCCGATTAGCAATTATAAGTTCTGTTAACCGGTTAGGCATATTTTTTCTCTGCATTGCTCGAGTAAGTATAGCATCAGCGTCTGGTCTATTTTTAATCACTGGATGGAAGGCAGTAATAATAGCTACACAAATATGAACATCATCAATCAAATGGGTGCCAGCCAAATTAAAATATTCATGTCTCAGTAGCTTAGTCTCTTTTAAATCGACCATTAACTACCTCTACTACCCATCTGCATAGTGTCACACACCTTGTTTTGTTCGCATTGATGGTCGATAACTGAGTCTCTCCTTGTTCTAAGGACTCTGGTATAAATACTTTAAACCGTTGGGCTTTGGTTAGGGCTCTCTACCATTGGAATGGAATCACGAAAGCATCAATCCAAAATGAAAACATCATTGGGCTGAAAAAAGCCCTTAGACCCTCGTTTTCATTTTGGAATAACGCTTTCATGATGTCAGAATCTGATTTTGTTGCTGGATAGGGTCCCAAAATATCAATAATGTAACCATCAGTTGCAACAATGAGAAAAGGTTTAACAAGGTTTCTATATTTGTGCAAGCTATAAGTTTGTTTTTGAAACATGTAGTTGATGATTTTAGAAGATATATAGGTACCATCACATATTATTATAGGTACTCTTGCCTCTTTGTTTCCAAACAAGCCCTCGGGTATTAATAAATTTCTATTAATTAAATCATTTCTTGTGGGATTGGGAATCAATAATATTTTTTCCAAAGTCACAAATATTTTTTTCGTTTTTAATATAATTTTTCGTAAGTATTCCGGCACTCTATTTCGTTCTATGTTGCTACAAGCCGGCACAAAACAATGAGCACTTGTCTCTGTTGTGTGTGTAAATCCATCAAGTGTTATTGATGCACTTGGTTGCTGCATATTAAATTGTTGCACCACTTCTTGCTCCATTCCTATATTTTCCTGTACATGTGTCTAGCAGTTGGAACAAAGAAGCGCATGTTATGGTAACTGAAAAAATTCAAAAAACAATTTACTCATAGGGGCAACAGATAGGATTACTAATAGTTGAATGTACAGTAACATTACTTGTGTATGGTGGTTTGGTAGATTAAAATAATCTAACCTCATTTGGGTGAATTCTTACTGGAACTTCATCTCTCACAGGACCACTAGCCACGTGTGTTAGCCTTCGCTGTAGCGACATTCTACACCATGCACACATAGAGTCTTAGTGAAGGCTAGATGGGGCTGGAGTTTGCCAATTATCCTCAATCCTTGTAGCATGCTCCACATTTCTACGTGCTGCTACCCAACAAGCATAGCAAACCAGTTCTCCTGGTGGAATCTGAATAAAAGAAAAGAATACAA